CCCCAAAACCCCAAAACCCCAAAACCCCAAAACCCCTGTAATTTAAATTCTATTTGATTACTATTAAATTTACATTTTTCTCTTAAAAAATGATATTCCAAATCGACGAAGAGACCGGATCAGATACTTCTATTGAGAAACCAAGAAAAAGCTGAGAAGATATTGTTCCACTGATCCCTGTGATGGGGATCATTGTTGGCTGCATTGAAGCTGCATTTTCTTTCGTGATAAACACTCACATTGTAGGATTCTTTACAGCTATATCACTTATTATCCTCTGAGGAGTGTGGATCATGGTGATGATTAGGAAGGTGAACCAGAACCATTTTAGCAAGATTAAGACTTGAATCTTCCTTATGTCCCTACTGATTATTGCCATGACTGCTTTTACCTTCTTCTTGGTAGTAGTGAAAGCTATAAATTTTGCCTACAACCCAGATGTGAATAGTCTTTCTCTCCAACTCATGTTCAAGAAATATGAGGTTGAGAACGAAAGATTGCTGCAGTTTAGGCAGGTAAGATTTTGAAAAGGATTTATACATAGTTTTGGGTTCAAAACAAGGATTCCTTGTTTAGGAATATTTCTGGAAGAGTTTTTTATTTTCTGCCTTAAGAATCTATTTATTCCTTTCTTTATGTCATCGCAGAATTTCAGACCACCATAGGATTTTTCTAATGTTTTGTTTAGTTTGAGTATACTGAAGACGGATTATTTTCCTTATTTAACATTGAGGATGAGTCAGATAAGAGTATTCTAACGGGGTGATTAACTCCTAATATTCACTCTCGGCTACAATATCTTGAAATAAACGACTCTTTAATGCTGTCCCATTCTTCCACTACTGAGTCCCTTCTTGGGACCGTTATAGACACTGTAATTGCATTTGAACAAACAGAAGAAGGATGGAGGTGGGCTACTTCTTGTACTAAACGGATCTCTGGGATAGAACTTGATTCATTAGATGATTGCTTAAATCCTATCCTGGACTGAATTGATCAAAGAACTTCTTCCTATGCATAAATCCTCCATAAAACATTTTTCAATAATCCTACTAGACGGAGGGGTTTTGGGGTTTTGGGGTTTTGGGGTTTTGGGG